GGAATAATTCATATTTTTTATCATGCATACTGGAAGAAATTCTTTCTCAATGGTGGCCAGATTTAAGTTCACGTTGGTCTATTACAGTTTCTAACATTCATACAAATCAAGTATTAATAGCTGTTGATAATATAACATTACATTATGCAATAGGCTGGCCGATTAATATTGTATTAAATGAAGAAACTTTTATAAAATATAACGAAATATTTAGATTTCAATTGAAATTAAAATGGGCTTTATGGACGCTAAATAATTTAAGATTTAGTGGTAAAAAAAATATAAAAAATTTGTATTTTTTATTTTTAATAAATCATTATAAATAATTATGTTCTTTATAGATTTAGAAGGTACAAAATTAATGTGTAAGAGAAATAAATTGGAACAGTTTCATATAAGGCGCATTGAAAGTTTGCGATTTTGTTTATTACATGCAATTACTTCAGTACATACTTATTTATCAGGTCAAGTATTACAAAATTTAAGTCTTATGTTAGAAAAATCTTTAACACAGGCTGAAAGTTTAGATACAATTATATCAGGTATGTAAAATTTTTTAAAATATATAAAATATTAATTAGTAAAATAAGTTTATTAATTAAATAATATTTTTTTAAAATTATAGTTCATAATGAATATTTAAACAAAGTTCATGAGCATTGTTTATTAACTGCTGAATATGAAGATTTAATGGCAACAATAACTAATGTATGTATATATATATATATATATATATGAAATGTCATTATTTAATATATATAATATATTTTAAATAATTATAGAAATAAATCTATTTCAGTTAATTGAAATGTGTAATCATATCAGAGCACGATGGAATTATAAAAAGTTAACATTTGCTAGTGAAGAATTAGATGTATTAGAAAACAGTTATAACAAATATCATACATATCTTGCTTTAGCCTTACATAATGCAGTTCAGAATAAGGATGCAAATTATTGTAAGTCTGAAATTCTATTAATAATATTATATGATTTATCTCAATCTGATATTATTATTTATTTATGTTTAATTAATTAACAATAAAACATTAAATGTTTTATTATACTATTTTATAAAGATTTATGATAATTCTTACCAATGTAAGTCTAAAATTCTATTAATATTTCAAATAATATTTATTATAAATTATTCCAATTTATAAAGATTTTTGATTATTATTATAATAACATTAATTCTAAAAATAAATATGTTACTATATTAATTTAAATTATCATTTAATGTTTTTTTTTAATTACTTTGTTCACAGTGACTGGTTTAAGCTCTGCATTTAACTGCAGTATGTCATGTATTTAACAATAATATTTTTAAATTTTTTGTATTCAATATTAATTGTATTCAATGACATATCATAATGATATATCATAATGATATATAAATATTTTATTTTTATTAAATACTAGTAATAAAAAATATAAATTCATCATTAATTAGAATAATGTAAAATTATTATTCTTACATCTTATTCTTTCATTTCTTGAGAAAAATGTGTATGTGTATATATATATATATATATATATATACTACACATGAAATACATATTATAATATATATTATATAAATATTGTACAATTTATGTTTAAATTTATGTAAGTTTATATTTATAAAAACTTTAATATCGTGTTCTGTCTAATTTTTATATTAAAAATATTTATTTATTTATTTTTCACGAATCATATTAGTTTATATTAATAATTCCTTTCATTCAAAAATCCTAGTCAATCCTTATAAATCTTTTCAGACGAATTAATGTTGCAATATCAAATTAATACAAAAGATATTTATGTAGAAAATAATGTAACTATGTATCCATTGAATAATCTCAGTCGTAGTTTGTTAATTGAAATAGCTTATCAATACTTACCACCATCAGGTTTGCCTATTCCTATTCCAAAGATTATACACAAATTAGATTGGTACAGCAGCAGGTAAGAAAATGAATATTTTAAAATTATATCTTATAATAAAATTAATATTTTTTTTATTAAATTTATAAACAAAATGAATTATTTTTAATAAAAAAATTAACTTTAAAAGCTACAAAACTTATGATAAAATATTAAAAAATTAAGTATAGTTCTATGAATATATATGTAGTATTTCATTTTAAAATATAAATTTAAATGTTTTTAAAAATAAATTTTTAAATAATTATTAAATTATAAAGTATTATATAAATTTTTATATTTTCTAGTTTAAATTCTGAAAAGTCTTTACCAAATGACATTATTCTAAATGAATATGAACAAACATTTTCATATATACGATGGTATCAACTAGAAGAAAGTGTTGTTGCAATCAATTTATCTCCATATATATTACATCGTGAAATGCAAGATTTTATTAATGATGAAAAATCAGAAATAAATTATTAATAAATTACTTATAATAAAAATAAATTATAATGATTTAATAAAAAATAAATTTAATAAAAAATAAACTATAAAAAATATATTGATAAAGATGAAAAATAGATATTCGTAAAGAAGTACTACTTTTGTATTATTTCATGGAAGAATTGAAAAATATAAATAAAATAATGAAACATTATAACAATAGTTAACAAATATATGAATTATTATTTTCGTATTTGCAAATAATTTATTTTAAATTAGCTATTATTAATATAATTTAGTTCCATTAAAAAAATTGGTAAGAAATAATAAAATAAATACATCTTGTAGTAAGTAAATATTTATAAAATTAAGTTATGAGTAACATGATTGCAATATCTTATTAGCATTATGTAAAATAAAAGAGAAAAATTTTGTTTATTCAAACATTTAAAGAAAAATTCTATTTTGCGCAAAACTCTGTGCATTTACAACAGTACCATTTTGTCCCATTGTTCCACTTTGTGATACTGTAGGAACATTTACAGTTTCATTCAAATTAATAGATGGTGTTGAATGATTATTAATATTTGCAGTAGTCAATGCTTTATTACGCAATTCAAAAACCTGTTGTATAGCTTTACGAAAGCAAAGAAAATTATAATCAATTACACCTATAAATTAAAAAAAAAATGATATTATATCTGGTACTATATTATGATTGCATTTCTTAATAGATTTAAATGAAAGTACCTTGTCTATCAAAATTATCTTCGCGCAAAATACAAACTAGAGCCAAGAATTTATTAACTTCTCTTAAATACAAAATTGTTCCATTATTTAGTTTGATTAAGCTAGAACTTTGATTATCAAATGCTGCAGCCTCTAAATCTTCTCTTAAACTAAAATTAATACATAATATGATATAAATTTTTCTTATTATATGATGATATAATGATATATATAATGATATATGACAAGTTTTTATGTAATTTTATGAGACATACCCATATATGCATGATACATCAATAACAACATCAATCATATCACAACAAAGTTCATAACTTTGCATATCTACAGGAGAACTATCAGTTGCAATATAAATTTTAGATACTACATCAAATAAAAATGCCTTTTCAATTGCAGAATTCTGAAAAACAAATTACAAATTATTTTATAAAAATATATATGATAAATGTTTATATTTAATAATCATATTTTTTCTTACTGAAATGAGTATGTTAAGTAAATTTTCTAGAGTTGGTAACTGTGGTATCAATTTTTGTACAACTTTGCTAAATGCTTCAAATATACTGTGATCATATATAGATGTTAAATGGAAACTTAGATGTATTTGGTCACATCCTAAAATATATATACATAAATATATATAAATAATTATTAATAAAATATAAATTTTCTATTATTTAATTTTTGTTTACCAGAATCTGCAAGATCATCATTTGCTCTAGTATGTATATCCCTTTGTGTTTCCATTTTGCAATCATCAGATAAGCCATCAACCTTATGTATGAATACTTCAAATTTTATTGCTTGATTAACCTTATATGCTTTTGTAACTGTTAAATGAAGTTTATTAAGTGCTTCCATATAATCATCTTGAGCATCAATAACAAAAACTAAAGCTCCACAACCACCAAATATCATATCGCTATCAAAAGTAGGATCAAAGAAGTCAATTTGTCCTGGAAAGTCCCAAATTTGAAATTGAACAAAACTAGAGTTACTTATATCATCTTTAATAATTTTATTTGTGCTTTCCAAAAATAATGTTTCATTTGGTGACATTTTATGAAAAACTACTTTTTGTATTGATGACTTTCCACTCCTAAAATATTAATATTAAAATAATAATAATTATATTAAATAATATTAATAAAAATATAATTAATAATCATATTAAAAAAATATTTAAAAAAATATAGATATTTTATTAAATATATTTTAGATAATTAAATACCTTCGAAGACCCATTAATAATATTCTAGGTTTTTGTTCTCCTGCTAAAGGATCTATGGATCCTTCTGTTTCTCCATCAAATGGGGCATATCCAAAATCTTTAGGAAAAGAACCTACATCATAACTAGCTTGATATTGATCATCATCATCCTATAAAATAAAAATTCTCTTATTAATGAACATTAATAAATATAACAAATGATAATATATTTAGAGTTATTTATAAAATAGTTTATTATAGAACTACTATTATTTATATATATATATATATTTGCATATGTAAACATTTAATTACTAAATACTTTCTAATATCCTAATATATTAGATTTTTAAATAGTTTGATAAAAATAAAATTTTAAACAAATAATAAAATTTTATCTGACAATTTAAAATAAAAAATTTGTTCATTTAGAATAATTGGATTAAATGTTACAAATAATCAATTATTTCACAATTAGTTAAATTGATTTCATTCTTGAATAGAAATTTCTGAATAATTTATTTACAAATAAGAATAAAAATTACGAATGTAGTAAATTGAATCATTGATAATACTCACCATATTAGAACTGTGTATATTTTATTTATTTGATATTTATTTTATATATATATATATATATATATGTTAAAATAGAGAGATAGAAAGATAGAAAGAGAGAGACTTTAGATTTAAAAATTTATAATATTATCACACAATTAAAAATTTAAGATATTGTGTATTAATTACAATAAATATCAATATATATTACATATATTTTCGTACACAACTACGTGAAAGTATAATAAATCATACACAGTAGTTTGATATAATATCACAGCAAGTGACGATTGGACTAAAATATGACCAAGTTGATGCACAAAAATAAATATTCATTTTCAATCATTTAAATCTAAACAAAGAATTGTACATAAAGTTTATACAATATATTAGAATAATATTCATATATAAATTTTTTATCTTTTTTAGTTAATTAATTTTACTTTTTTATATTATTGTATATTTATAGCATATACAAAAATATATCACAAGATTCATAATTCCATCACATAAAAAACTATCTCGTAATAAGTATACCTAATATCAAATAAACGATATAATGAAAATAGACATTACTATAGATTACCAACTGTATATTTGTAATTACCAACTCTATATTCTTATATTCTACTGATGATGTCGCCATTTTCTTTGCTGCATCTATGACAAACTTCATATACCTCATATGTTTCTGTTTGCGCGAAAAACGTGTACAGCGAAATGAAATAAACGTAAATTATAAAAGGATTTTCTGAAGAAAGAATTGTATAAAATATTATTTTAAAATATGAAAGTGATTGTCACTATTGTGTGATTATATTTTTTAAGCTAAAAAGCTAAAAAATTTATGATATGGCAGAAATTTCGAATTCTACTGTGTTTACAAACGATGCACCTTCTACTGGTGCTTCTGATCTTCTTCAACAAGCTTTTCAACAAGTTGTTGATGATGACGACCATGATAATGAATTTGTGGCATTTTTACAAAATGACGATAATGATTCTCAAACTATTCACTTGACTCCAGAACAAGCAGCAGCTTTAGGCTTAACCTTTGAGGTAACCTCGAATGAAGAGGTTATATATCAACAAGATCAAGATAATACTACTTCAAATATAGCAGAAAATATTTCTATAAAAGATAAAATTAATGAACAGGATCAAAATTCATTATCTTCTCAGGAATCTATAAAAATTGATCAGTTAAATTATCAATCTGAACAAATACAAAAATCCAATGAAACTGAATTGATTAAAACAGAGTGTATTGATTTTCAAGAATGGCATATGCAAAAAGTTTCTCAAACAGAACAACTTCAAGATCAAGTAGTTGAAAATGATATATCATTAGAAGAAATGAATTTGAATAGTCAAAATCATGAATCTCAACAAATAATTGAACATCAAAATAATATAATTCAACAAAATTCGAATGCACAGACATTAGTTTTGGATCAGCCTAAAGTACATGGAATAAAAACAGATATTACGCAAGTAAAAAATATTCATGAAAATGAATTGCAATATACTATTGAAGATAATATAGCACAAAATCAACTTAATACAATGCCTAATACTCAAGCGCAAATTTTACAAAAATTACCTGTGATTTTACCATCTTCACAATTTATTATAAAACCTGCACAAACTATATTAAAACCAGCTAAAAATATTAGATTACTTCAAAATTCGAATAAACTCTCTAACACAACTGTTAATTCCATTAATGCTGTACATTCACTTAATACTAATTCAAATCCTAATTCTGTATTACTTTCAAAGGCTACAATAGTAAATAATTTATCACCACAAATAATAAAAGCTACACCTATAACAGCTCAGTTATTAAATAGTGGTATATCTGCACAATTATTAAATACTTCTCAGTTTTTAACTGGTACTTGTGACATACAAAATCAATCTGTTGGTACTTCACATATTTCAAATACTATTGTAAATACTACATCTGGAGCAACGCAAAATCTTGTTACTTCACAAATACGTTTGTCTCCAATTGTAAAAACATCACAATCTCTTCAAAAAGGAAATGTTCAACAATTTTTAACTCCAGTGCTAAAAAGTGCATCAACTGTGCTTCCAAAGACTAATCAAATTCTTAATAATACCAATGTGGCTACAGCTATTCCTGCACAATTTTTAAAATCTGTACAAATCCCTTCTCAGTTACTTAAAACAAGAACCACTATTGGTAAAAAAAATTCAGGAATAATTGGAACAGCAAAAACTACAGCTAATTCTGATACACCTGTTGTACTTCGAACTGCATCTATTGTAAAAACTCAAGATTTAAAAACAGTAACAACAAATTCTATTTTAAAACCAACTCAAATTTCATCAACACCTATATCTATTTTAAAACCTCAAACAAAAATTACATTTAACAATGCAACTAAACAAAATGTGACTGTTGCAAACCAAAATATTACTAATGTTTCAAGTAATTTACAAAATACTTCACAAAAAACACCTATAACACAACATAGCAATACATATGAATCTATTAAATCAATTCAAAATGAAACTACTAGACAAAAACTTAATTTTATAGTAAATGGCACAAATCTTAAAGTAAATAAAAAAGTTAAAAGTACTCCTATTAAATCTACAACAATAGTAAATGAATCTACAGATGCATCTAAACCATTAGGTTCTAGTGAAAATCCAATACAAATAGTTCAGCAAGGTCAAACATTTCATAGGTAGGTGATTAAATATTAAAATAATATAATTACCAATTATTTTATAACAATTATATTTATTCTAGTATGCAACGTTTAACACCAATGCAATTAAAACAAATTGCACATGTTTTGCAACAACGTAGCCAAGAAACAACTACATCAAATGAAAGAGTAGTATATAGGTCAGTATATATATTTATATACTGTCAGTATATATATTTATTTAATATTATAGAATTTTAAATCTAAATGATTTAAATGTACATTCAGAGTGGTATTTCCCGAAGAATTGGATTTACAAATTAGAAATCCAGGAAATTTATTAAAAAATCGTGGTGGAAAAAGAGGTAGACCAAAAAAAAGTACTATAAGACCTTCATTGCTTCCACCTAAACCACCACCAATTCCTGATGAAGAACAAGAAGAATTAAAGGTAGATTTTATTTATTTTTTTAAATTTTTAAATTATTTTACAATAATATGTTAATATATTAATCTTTTTTTTAGGATGAAAGAAAAAAAGTTGTGGCCAGAACACGATCTGGTAGACTTTCTCGACCTCCTAGACATATGGTGCGAGATTATAAACATTTACATCATTTAGATTTTCTACAACCTGACTTAGATGATTCAGATGGTGGTTATAGTGATTATAATACTAATAATGATAAACTTGAAGAAGAAGAATCACCTAAAGAATTATTAACAGGTCTTGAAGTACCAAAAAGAAAAATATCAGATCATTTTAGATGTCCTACATGTAATAAAATATATTTAGGGCGTACTCGTATGGCAAGGCATTTTGAAATGCATCCTGATCATGGAAGTCCTGAGCAACTACCTCCTCCAACACCTGAACCTGAATTAAAACAAAATGGAGGACAAGATCCTTTAAAACGTAAAGGGAAAAAACGAGGTCCTTGGGCTTACGTTACACCAGAAGCTAAATCAGAAAGACGCCAAATAAAATTGCAAGAAGCGATTTCTGTATGTGAAAATCTCGAAATAATAAAAATTGCTGCAAAACCGGTACTTAACGCACAATCATTATTTGATTTATTGGTACTAAAGTCTGAAAATAATGTAAGAAATTTTTTGGACGAGTTAAAACAATTAATGGATAAAATACGAGAAAAAGTTGGAACAATGTTAACAATTACAAATAGCGATGAAGAATTAAGCGAAGATTTAATTGATATCAGTGAAGAATCACTTTGTGATGCTTTAGGTCTTAATCCAGGATTATATAAAATTAACAATGAAGCTCTAAAAAAAGGTGATACTTCTATTTGCACTACTTATGACAATAGAGAGCCACCTCTTAAACTTCAAAAAATAGATAATTCTGAAGATGGTAAAGAAAATATAGAGGAACGAATGTCCAGTGGTTTTTCTGAAAGTTCAGATCTTAGTGTTTCTGACTTTTTAAGTGATAGAAGAAATGATTCTGTAACAAATCCTACTTGTCCAGAAGTGCTATCTGCTTTAACATTAATGCGAAGAAATCCTAGTCCTGTGAATAATGCAGAGAATAATAAATCTAACAATGTTTCAAAACTTTTAATTTCAAATCCAGAAATTCAAAATCAAATTTCAGATAATCCTGGATTTCAAAAAGTTGATATCACTTCACCAAAAATTTCAAATTATCAAAAATCAGAGTCTCATAAAGAAAACTTTACAAAATTAGGAAATGGTTTAGGATCATCAAACTTTTGTAAAATTGAAAATAATTATGAACAATCTAAGATAGAACATATGGAACAAGCTTTTATAAAATTAGAACCAACAGAACAAGGTTTTGTTAAACTAGAAAATGGTTCTATGGATACTTATTCAAAACAAGATGCTCTACAAAATGGTTTGGACAATATGGAGAATGGATCTCAAAATTTTATTAAAGGATTCCAAAAATTAGTTTCCAAAATAATTCCTATGACATCATCAGATTTAAATTGTGTTAAAACTCAATCTGCATCATTAGATACAGGTTCTTGCAAAATAATGCCTGCTACTTCTGGTTGCAAAATTTCAGATAGCCTGCCTATACTTCAAGATGCAGTACCAATAATTTCTAATAATTGTGATTCTAATATATTTGGCAGTTCAGAAAATTTAGATATGTCAAAAATAACTCAATATGATCATATAGCACATTTAGATATTCTAAATACAAGTGGAGTCATAGATAAAAACTTATTAATCGATGAAAAATTAGTTGAACAGTTACATCTAGTAGATCAATCAAATTTAGTTGATGAACTTGTATCTGAACGATTAAAAAATATTATGCCAGATAATATTTTAGAAAATAATTTGATATCAAATAATTCAAATTTAGATACTGATCTTGATTTTGAAGCATTAAGTGAAGAATTTAATAGAAATACTAGAAGTTGATTCTTGGATGATAGCATGCAAAATGTTCCTAAAAAAATTGAAATAATAAATATAGTATATAATAATATCAAACTTATGCAATTGAAATTGTATATGTATGATTACACAATAATGTAGATATTTTTTTATAGAAATTCTGACAGTATCACAATCAATATATTATAACTTCCATATTTGAATGAAGAATACTACTAACAGTAAGATAATATGTCTTGCATTCTGACATATATGTAAATAAGACTGTTTCTGTTATATTTATTGTGTATAATGTATATTTTATATGAAAAAATATAAAAAAAGATAGTCATACTACATCGATAATATCAAAAATGTATCAATGTTGATCAAAAAAGTTTCTACTTTGTCAGATAACATTTCAACAAATTTTTACTGAAACATAAATTTTTTTTTAAAGAAATAATCTTTATAATCATACACAATACAATTAATATTTTCAGTTTCTTGAAAAAATTTCTCGAAAAAAAAGTTTCATATGATAAACTAAAAAAATAAGAAATTAAAATTATATGTTAAACAATGTAAAATATAAATATATAAATTTTATGTAAATATAACTTTTCATAGATATTAGTTATATAATCAGATAGAAATATATTATAATTCTTTTTAGTTAGAATATTACAAAAATGATTATGCACAAATTATTTTATGATTCAATTTTGACTTCCTATATCTAGTGAATATTTATCATCTGTAAAATTTGTATTGCTAATGGATAAAATAAAAATTGTATTTATATTATATCAATAATTTCATAATAACTGTAATAACTGTAAAAAAAAATAATGAAAACTGAAAAAATGAAGATAATGATTTCAGAAATTGTAAGTAATAATTAATGAATAAAAGTGAATTATTTACAATTTTTGTATGAAATATTAAATCATTAAAAATACTTAATACACCAAAAAAATAATTCCATCCACATTGTTATAGCATTTATGTACAGTGGAAATTATTAATTTTGTATTTATCTGTAAATATGTATTATACATATGTAAGAAGTTATTGATATAATTAAATGTTAATGGCACTAGTAATATTAGAATAATTGTAACTAATCATAAAATGCATTAATTTTGCAGGTTTAGTTCCTTGTATCTTTAAGATACACTTTCTAGAATCTGCATTTTCAAACAAACATAATATGTTTATACTTGTCTATATTCATATTAATTCTTTGTGATCTCAGGTACCAATTGTAAACAGAATTTTATAATTCAAATATATTTCAATTTCATTTTGATTTTGTGAAATTATACAAATGGTATTTGAAAAGCCACAAATAAATGATCATTCTGTTAATCTTTGTTTTATTTCATAGTTATAACTTATGATATAATACAAAAAAGTAATCATTGTAAACACTGAATTGTTTTTGAAATAGAACACTTACCAAAATTTATATCAATAATAATTTATTACCTATGTCCACTCTCTATTAACATTGATTCCAAGAATGTTGTTAAATTATGTGGTAATAGTGGTTGATGTACCCAACTAGCAAGAAACAACATTTTCCATGAGTCTGTATAATAATGTGCTATATTTTCTAAAACTTTAAGCTTTACTTTTAATTCACGAGAATATGCATCATATATTGATTGTGCAATTTCTCCTAAAATTAATCATAATCTTAATAAGATAAATTAATTTCAAAAATTGGATTAAGTTTTATAAAATATAATTATAAATATTTTTACCAAATTTTAAATTAGGCCATGTTATAAATAACTTGTTCATATTAGTTTCTAAAGATGCCGTTATTTTTATATGTTGTGTGATTTGAGCAAGATTTTCTACAATAGTATTCTAGAAAAAATATTGCAATAAAAACATTTTTGTTATAATAAAAATATGAAAAGAAAAAAATGAAAAATATTAAGAGATGCATTACCAATGAATCACAAATATTTTCTAATTTATCACATTGTTCTTGCAAAATTTCAGAATAAGAGTCATTCTGTTTTATTTGAATTATATTCTTGAGTAATATTATTCCTTCTAAATGAAGTGTATTCCATATTTGTATATTTTTATGAATATCTGCAATTAAATCTCGTATATGCCGAGCAGAACCTGTTAAATTTCTTCCTTGTGTTGATTTTGCATGTGAAAGTTCTGTAATATGAATCCAATAGAACATATTTTTTATATGATTTTTTGCTTATTTATACATTATTAAAAAATGAATATACAATAAAAATTAAATTACTTACTATTAACAGGAGAAAATTGTTCTTTATTTTTCATCTGTATGTGACACACTTTTTTAGCACAATCCATCACAACTAAATTTTTATGAAAACATACATTAATAAAATAAGTAGAAAAATAAATACTTAATGATTACATATAGAAATTTAAAATATACTTATAAACATTTATATTAATTAATTAGAATGTAACAATAAACTTGTTCGTTCAATCGATTAATTTATACATATGTAATTGTAAATATGAAAACCTTATATAGTACAAAGAATATTTGTATATAATTATTACTCAAGTAAATATAAATATAAAAGATAAAGATTATATTTTTGATAAGTAACAATAAAATTATAGAAATTTGAAAGATTGTTTTATTGGTTAATTATGTTAAAATAAAATATTTTAAAAGAGAAAGAACCAATGATAATAACATTTCCGTTAAATTCCTAATTATCCATTTATATATATTTATATATGATAAATATTAAATAAAATTTTATAACATTTTAAATTTAATTTGATTTTATTAATTTTATAAATTACTTTAAAAAACTATTTAATTGTATTTACGTTCAAATTTTATGTAAAATTTTAAATATTTACATTTGCATTTTAAATATATAAAAGCAAAGGATATAGATGGCGCCTATGATACAGTATGTATTTAATTATGCGCTAAAATCGAATTTAAAATATTTTGTATAATCTAAAAACAGCAATTTTTTTATTATTTAATTTATTATTTTAATACAATACTTTTGCGAAATATTATGAAATATTTTTATATTACAAAATATATCATAAATTGATCAATTAAATTTAACTTTTATTCTAAATAATAAATTCTAACAAATGATATAATGATATAAATATTTAGGTTTAAAAAGTAGATTGAAGAATTTACAATTTTAATAGATTTAACATATTAAAGTTTATTTGAACAGGAATTGAAATTATAATAAATATATATAAATTTTAATCAATAATATAATTCTTTTTTTAAACGAATAAATAATAAAAAAATTATTTATGTTAGAAAAATATAATTATTGATTGTTATTATTGTTATTATTTCAGAAATAGATATATATAATTTAAAAATAAATATATTGTTACAATGCTTGGTCGTTTTTAAAAAAATCAAAAATATAAAAAAGAATTTAAGTAAAATATGTAAATTATGATTAAAATTACAGAAGAAAATTTATATATATGATAAATTGAAACGAAAAGGATCGGATGTAACGCGGTTCGGCTCTGTTGCTTTTGTTCGGAGAACGGTCGAGGAACAAGGTCACAGATAAAATGGCAGTCGTTGAGTGGAGTTCAGTTGTGTCTCAATTATAATTACGTGGTCTCAAAAATTGCAGGAACATCTGACAAGAAGAGAAGAATGAACGTGCTTCAGGAATTAGTTTCGAAACTGAAGTCGAATAGTTGTCATTGTCAAGTCTCATAATAACACATACCGGCTTCTTATTCCATTTTTTCTCGACCAATCTAGTTAGTTGTACCTTAAAGTCGAGTCTTTGTGGCAGACGCGATTCACGTTCTTGCATCTCGTAGATCACGTGAGATTTCTCTCTTGTGCTCTGACTCGAGATTACCTCATGGGAATTGATCAAGCTACTACAAAGCCTTCGAGTTACATTCACATCAAGAAGATTTGACTTGGTGCCGTTGTGCATGATCGTAATTAAAGTTGGATTAATCCTTTAGAGCAATCGTTAGCGAAAAAGATCGATTTGAATTTTTTGACATCGAATTAAAAAATTTTTTTAGAACTTTTCGGCGGGAGATATACGTTTGAAAGAAAAAAGAGATCTAACAATGTGACGTAATTTCATGATAATAGCTCCGAATGTTAAGTGAACAGATAAACGATCGAATTCGTGATTTGAGTTTAGTAATCGAAAAAACGCATATAACGAAAGTTTAGTTGGTGTTTGATCTTCATTGCATTATTTCGTCGGTGGCAACGATGAAAATGGAGGTAAGTTTAGTGCAATAATATTAAGAAAAAATTTTTTTTATATTGTTTATGTATTTGATTAAAATATTCGTACGAATTAATAGTATAAAATTAACGTTTTTATTATTATGTTAAAACAGGTTTCATGCATAAATAATCGATGTTTGTATTGATATTTCTGTATGATGGCAAAAATTATGATTTGAATTGATCAAGATAGCGGTACTTTTAAATGATTAAATGAAGAAACATGAATGAAATTTCTGATTTCTATCATGGACAAATGTGATTTATGTCTTTCATTATCAATTGCATATTACCAATTGCAAGATGTCGCTATTTCAGATGAATTAATAAATTAATTATTCAAAAAAGTATATTGAAAAAGATATTATGATTGGCTTAATTTAATTGGACAATTTGAACAAAATCGTTTCATGTATATTCGAAAGTAGTTTATCTAAATGAAAAATGAATTTACGTGTTAGCATATTGTTCTCGAAAGACTGGTTGAACGACTATTCAAATCAAATTATACGCGATTTTTAAATGTAAATATTCAATTGATGATTTTTTACGGAAAGTTTGATATTTTAGTTCGATAAAACAATATATTTTTTCAGCATTTAATATAATTAAATTATGTAAAATATTTGAATTCGTAATTAAAGTCATTACTCTATTTGTTTCTAGTTAAATTGAAATATTTTATACAAACAGACATAATTAAATTTATCTTCAGTTTTTATTTATTTTTTATTTATAAATAAATATTTTAATATTAAATTAAATGATTTAATTAAATACATAATTAAAACCTTGTAAAATAACAATGAATAACATTTATAATTAATAATCAATAATATTTATAAATTATTATGCTCCAAATATTAAAATTTATTAAATTTATTAAAACAAAATTTAATTCAATTTTTTTTATTATTTTTTAATTTTGAAAATTAAAAATTATAATAATATAAATAACTATAATATTATATAATTACAATTATGAATTATATATATGATATTATAATAAATATTAATAATTAATAATTAATAAATACCATCATCAAAAATAAAGATAAGGATCTTCTGTAAAAATTTTTAGAAATTTTTAGAATTTTTAGATTTCAAATGTTTTTAATGCGCATTGAATATCATGGAATTCAGACAAAAATGATTATTAACAACGACAATGAGATTATGGACAAAAGTAATCCAAATGCAAATTGTAAAAATAACTGGTAATTCACGATGGATTTCCATTCGTACATGAGGAAACCGGTATCGTGCATCTTTTCAATATACATATCTATATCTATATCTAACTGATTTTTTACATAAATTATGTAGCCCATCGAATAGGAGACAAAATTTTTCTATATATAATATTCTTATAAATTAGCCACAGTTTGAGTGATTAATAATTTTGGAGCATAATTATTGAGTTAAAGAAGTTTCGTATGCTTTATACATTTCTTCACTTTATCGATGCTATTTAATTTAATTGCATATAAGGTATGTAGGTCATTGTTGATCGTAGCACGTTTAGTTTTATTTCTAAAACGATTCGACAGATGTTTCAACGTCAGGTATGAGAAATTGAAACAGCTGTTGCGCTTTCAGCGATCTTGATGATAATATCAAATAAAATCTATCGATAATGCTTGAGCATTGCTCAAGAACTTGTTCAAAATCATTTTTTTTTAAAACTATTAAAATTTTTTACAATTACAATTTGTTTAAATCATATTATTATATAATAATAATGTAATAAATATATTATATATATTTAAATACATATATTTAAAATGTGTACACTTGTTTATTACTATTCTATCTTATTACTATCTTATAATTTTATAAACTAATTTATTTTATAAAAAAATTTTTTTCGTAAATAATTATCCATATTATTTCAAGTAGGAAGAGTAGATATATCACATGAGTTTATTAAAAACTCTTGTATTATTGTATATGACAGTAAATAATTATTAATGATTCTTGTCTGGTAAATTATATATATCGTCTATTTATCATCATGAACAGATCTTGTAGTCTCAAAATTTGTCGAAATCGAGCGTGTATTGGCAAAGAGAAATTTTAAATCGGCCATAGATGCAAATGAAAACGATGATAAAGGATGTTTTAAGAAAATAAAAGAAGCAGAAAAATGATCGTTGGCCCATTTTTTTTTAGAAAGGAAACAAGCATGGGTTACAGTTAAACAACCATACTAGCCATGCCATTTAGTTTTCAATGAGCAGCATTCCAGATTGCTGACCAGCTACAGCTGCTCACCTGGAAACCCTTCAAGAACTCGTTTCAGTAATATTTGGTTCCTACGCGGAAGTGCGAGTGAAACACCTGAGCGAATTTACTTCCTTCTGCCAACCACGAAAGAGCTAAAGCTTCATTCTTTTTTTTGGACACACCAGAAAATAGAAAATAAATTGTGTGTAATCCGTACAAGTTAAATTCGAAGAATCTCGCAGATTCAGACGATCCAGTGATTTATTGACCGAATTTCATTGTTCAAGAAGTTACAATGAAGTTGTGAAATCGTACGTTGAATCGAATGAAATTAATCTAATTATAAATGCGTATCTCTTTTCCATGATCTGTATTCAATGAAATTTTATCATACGTAAGAACCGAATGACAAAAAAAAATGATTAAAATTTTTAAAACAAAAATAATATTTCATTTAACCCTTGTACATTGTACAAATAATTATTATGATTGATATTTTTCAATAATAAGCTTATATATTAAATGATTTTATAAGAAATCATTGAAATTACTTCGATTTTAATCAATTATTATTTTTAGAGACAATTATTTATATAAACAAATGTTCAATATGTTATGAATTAATAATATAAGTTATATGTAAATCTTATTATCAAATCACGAATTTTTTCATATAAGGATTATTGTTATCATTGCTATGAAATATTTAAATCTTAGAGAATAATCATTTAAATGAAATTCATTGCGCATTATCACTGGATGATGACAACAATATCGACCTTGATTTCGATCTACGGATCTTTTAGTTTAAAGTGTTATGATATTTTCAATTAAATTTCCATTTATATATTAAAATCGATAATAGACGTTTTTATTTTTCAATAACGCAATATAAAATCAAAGGATAGTTATCGATCGTGATACCAATTGATAAAACCTGATTAAAAATGATCAGATAAAAGTATGTGTGGCAACAAATTCAACGAAACGTTTCGCATTGTTTCATATTATTTTTAAAATTGCGAGAGTTAGTAAGCTGGAAAAACAATTTTGATTTTTAATTGTGTTAAATAATATGGAAGTGACTTAGGTAATATAGTGACACATAAAAAAAATTAGTTAATGAAAGAAATATTTCTATTTTTTCTGTTTTTTTTTTTTTTCTTTAAGAAAGTGAAGTGAAGATTTAAAAAAATATTGAAAGAAAAACGATAATTTGTTTTCTTTTTCTTTTCTTTAATGAGAATATAAAACGTATTCAAAAACATAGACTGAAATGTATCCAAATGCTTATTTATTTTCAGTAAGTTGTAATTTTATTACGAAATTGTGATTATCAAAGTTTATAATTATTTTCTAAAGTTTATAATAATTCCGTATAATTATTCCAGTTACATGTACATATAGTAAAATATGGATATATTAATTGATATTTATAAACTCGTAAGTTTTAAATTTATAAAATATTTTGTTATAGGAAAAAAACTTTATTTTTAGGATTCTATTACACAATAACTTATCAATTAATAATATTAATGAATATATAATGAATATAATATAGATTATAAATTTCTTTTTTTTTTAATTTTATAATTTTATTAGAATTTTTATAAATTTTGAAATTTTGTATTTATTAAATTTTTATTATTATACAAAAGAATTTATAAATATCATATTTGTAACTTGTAAAATTTTATTATAGCATATTATGCACAGTTTGATTGTGTAAAAAAGAAAATTATTGATAAAATATAATTAGAATAAAAAAAAATCTTTCTAAATTGATAAAAGATTAATTCAAACAATAATATCTAAAATCAATGTAAGCCGATGAATTATGTATCTTATAATATTATTTAATTATGATCTATTATTAATAGATAATAAATATAATCCTTTTTAATAAATAATTTAAATATATATAAAATACATATAATATAATCCATTGATTTCTTAAAAAACTTCTGATTATAAATTTACCATTAATCATTTGCTACGCTTTGATAAAGCTCGCGTACTGTTATTACAAAAGTGTACAAAACGGCACACGTGACTGGTAGTGCATGTTTGAATTTACAGAATTTCGAAAGTATAAGTAAATGCGGAAACAATAACAGTTTGTTAAATTGCGTTCGTAAAAGGAGACCGATCCATTCCACACGACGCAACTTGTGCAAACAAACGAAATTAATAGTGTATATTCGTTCTCGTAAAAAAAATTTAATTACCTTGCCTAAAAGCGTATTATAAGAGTTTTGATGAATTATATCGGCGAAAGAACAGGTTAATCGTATAGTCGTGGCTAGTTTTCTGGAATTCGCTTCCCGTTAGCGCGAACGTTCGACGCAAAGTAGCCTGGAATTTGATTCGCTTCGTGGTTTGTATTTTTTTTTCCATCTTAATTTTTTTCTTATTCGCTTTTTCTCTCTTACATAAAGAAGAATCAAGAGATATTATTCGCATAACAGAAAGATTTGTAAACCACAAAGACATTCAGAGACCTGTGTTTAAACTGATCACACGATTTACGTTAAAATTAGAAACAAATTCATGGGTCAGATTGCATCATCATTAATTTAACAATCTGAAACATTAGATATAATTATGTGAATTTGTATGAATGTATGTGTCGTGAATCCTTGGCTGGAAAAATCGAGAAAATACGGAGGACGTTCTTCACTTGATCGTCTTTACTTTGACACTGACTACTTGACACTTAGAGAAACATACAATAAATCGAGATAAATCAACGGAGAAAAGAAATTAGATTTCAATTTTTATTTTTTTTTATTTATTTTTTTTAACTTTTTCCATTTTTCATATTTTTATTTATGGAAGATGAAATTCATACTAACATGATTCCATTTTGTTACAGGCGGAGCACAGGTTGGAGCAGTTGAAGAAGGCAACAGACAGAATACAAAAGGAGATCGAAGAGGTCACGGAGAGAGAGCACGAGCTCAGAAACGTGGGTAGCATTAAAACCACGTCCCACGAGACGGTGGATTCCAAGGTACGTTTAAAACTTCATGTATATATATGTATATATTCATGTCGACCGTGTTCAAGGTCATTGAACGAAAGAAAGAAAGAGTAAATGGATGTAGTCCTTATAAGAACAAAATCGTATGACTTATGGCTGTTCATGAGGAACAAGGATAATTAAACATGTCGTCACAGATTTAATGATTCACGATGCATTGTATCAATCTTATTACATACGTGATGAGAATCAATGAAAAATAAAATTTGATATTATAAATTGAAAGAGAATTAAAATTTCATTAAAAATTTTCATATATTATATATGTATATTAGAAAAAAATAATATATATGTATACATATAAAATCTTAAAATTTTTAATTTTTAAATAAAAAAATTAATTTGATGTCATATATATTTAAAAATATCATTAAGTAAGTTAAAACACGTATCATTTTCTTTATCAGAAGTTTCACTTTTAATGATTCATACAATAAGAAGCAGATTAATCGTTTTTTTATTATTTTTTTTTTAATAAAAGTAAGTGATAAAAATTTATTATCGATATTCATCAATTAAATGAATACTAATTTGTTATAAATTAATATATAGTATCTGATATAAATTATTATTTTATAGCAATTTTATGCAAAATATTCTCCGCAAAGAATAGATTCAGTGAATTATAAAAACAGTATGCAGAATGTAATGAATATCATAGATTCACATTACAATAAATTTTTTTCATTAAATTAATGATATTTTAATAATATAAATAAAAACGCAAACATGGACATGATTGCGGTTTTATATATTTTACGTTAATTAATAAAGTGTTTGAAGTAATTGCTATAGAATATAATAGTTTGCACATTTATTTCGCAAAGTTGGTTGCATTTAATTTTTACAATACAATCAGAATTTCAATGAAAATATTTTATCTAATATATATATAATATATATATTATCTGATATATATTAAATGTAATGCCGTTTACCATGAAATAGTTTTTTTAACTTGTAACGTAATTATTGTGTTGCGCTGATAATAGTTAAAATATGCTCTCGTATAATTGATAGCTGCAAATAGATAGCGTATGCGTTACAAAGGTCACTTCGATCTTTTTATATTCAGGTAAATAGTTTTATTTTTTAAAAATATTTTACACAAGAGAACTCATTTGGATTTCACTTGTTCAGGTTCTCTTGTAATCAAGTGAAGAAATGTATTATTTGCTGTTTTTAATTATACTTATTTTAATTGCAGCAATTTTAATTACAACAATTTATGTAATGTAACAAAAGGAATATATGTAATATATAATATATATTTAATATATATAATTAAATCAACAAAAATTTTGTTTATTAGGTACGACGTATGCCACAGGCTTTGGTCTCAGGAAAATTGAAGAGAACAACATCTACTCCACAAATTCTAGAAGCTATCAGCTTAACACCATCTACACCACCCTTAACGCCAAAGATGACAAATGGAGTGATATCTAGTCGCACCACTCCAACACCTTTGCGTTTCGCAACGGCACCTAGTCAAAAAGGGCTGATGCATAGGTTTCTGGCAACTCGTGGAAAAATTTATAAACCAAAATCTATAGATAATGATACGTTAACACCACCTTCATCACCCAGTATCACACTTAATCCATTGAGTATTAAGGCTTTTAATAGGAATTTGGAAATTCAACTTGAACCAGATAATGAACCTAAAAAACCTCCTATTAGAAAAGGATATGTGCCTGTAGAAGAAAAAATTCAAAAAGAATTACATGAAATGAAAGAACGGGAAAATGAGCTTAGGTAACTTTATGTTTTTATAATTAAATGATAGTATATGAATATGAATTATAATTTGTTATATTTAAATTTTAATATTATTTATTAAATTATATAATTTGATATTAATATGATCTATAATATAATATTATTTTCAATAATATATTTTTATTGGATTGAATATATTATCATTGAGATAAATTATTATATTAATATAAGTAATTTATATTTTTCTTATTTCACAAAATAATAATAATATAATTATATGGATTTTTAGATTAATGCGATCACAAATGTTAGCTAAATCTCAACCAAATCTTTTGGACATTGGAAATGATAACGATTCCGATATTTATGATGGCTCAAACTCATTAAGAAGCGGTACCTCAACAAATACTTTAAATGAAGATGAAATAGAAAAAGAAACTAAAGGAAAACACAAGGTACTAATAAAACTAATACATATGTTTTTAATATTAATATTTATATAATTTGTTTATTTACCGATCCTTAATTATCTGTCTTATTAAATAGTAAATTGGAAATGTTATCTATGTATTCATATTTTCGATCAATGATGAATCAATGATAATTATTTAATTGTATTAAATAGCCTAATCCACGACGTCGAAGCACTCTCATCGCGCAATGGGAAAATTTGATAGCTGCAAAAAAGGAATCTAATGACAATAACAACGAGAATGATTTAAATTTCTGAAAAACTGGATTATTTTGTAAAAAATAAATTATCAATGTTATATCATTTTTATATCATTTTTTTAAAATATTTCAAAATGGTATCAAAGTTTTATAAAATTTTTGAAACATATTTCATGCTAATATATATTACTGGATTTATTCACTTATCAAATTTTTAAATTAATTTATTTAATGTTAAGATAGATATTTATTCAAAACTAGTTTACCTGAATAAACATATATTATATTTAATATTTTTTTTTAAATGCTTTCAGTATTAAAAAAATTAGCTACAATGAAAAAAATTATCTTTTTTTTGTAGAAGATAAAAAATATTGCTAAGTATTACAAGCATATATATTTAATATATCTGCTGATTAATTGTAATATATCTGTTATTATATAATCACACAAAAATGACTGAATCCATAATTCTAAAAATTTTCTTTAAAATATGGTATATAATATATATTAATAATCTCATAAACAAGGATTTTGTTATATATTTAATTAATTGTAAAAAATAATTATGTGCATTCAATTTATTATATGTTGCATATGTGATAGTATAGTTCTAATAATAATAATAATAAATAGTTTATGCAATTATGTGCATTATGTGCTTAATAAGATATATATTTTAAAATTTTCTTTTGTTTTATTTTTTTGATTTTAAATAATAAAGTATTGATAATAAAGTATTTAAAATGTATTAAAAATATTTGTTTTACATGAAAATAAAATATATAATATAAAAAGAAACATATTTTTTTTATATAAACATATCAAATTCTAACTACAGAAACTGTTTCACAAATATTAAAATTTTAAATGTATAGAAATATAAACAATTAATAACAAGTATATTAATGTAATTTTCATATTAATAAATAAATAAATATATTATCATACATATAATCTAATCTATTTATAAAATATACAGGATTTTCAGATACAACAATAAATAAAATTTAAGAGATAAAAATTAAACAATAGAAAAGTTTTATATATATAAAAATATACACACAAAAATTTTACAAATAAACCTCAATTAACATTTTTGTATATCGTATACATTTCAATTTATTATCAATATTGTAATTATCAATTGATTATATATCAATATACATTTTTGTATATCAACTTTCATATTTATTTTTCTTAGAATGAGTCCTTAAATTTACTAACTTTATATAAATGCTTTATAATATAAAATAAGGTTAAATTTTATCCTCCATGTTAGGAATTCTATACAATTCATGTATCGAAGCAATCGAAGAAAGTATTCCCCTTGTTTTTTCATTTTAATCTTGTATTATTCATGTATATATTTTTCCACGTTTTTAAGTGATAAATTATAGCAATGAATGTTCCAGATGTAAATAAAATAATAAATAAAGAAACTGAAATTTTATTATTAATCAATTTCGTAAAAAATGATGGTAATTGAATAATTTTAGAATATATTTACATATTGAATTAGGTTATATTCTATTATTTATATATTTTAACTTAATTAAATATTGTTTTAATTTTATTTATTTCAGTTTGTGATTTACCTATTTGTGTACAAAATATATTAAATGGAAAATATGAAGATGTAATAAATAATAAATTATTTTTAAATTTAATTCAAGATTGCAGCAATTATGACGAGATAATACATAAAAATATAGAAAAAACAGATTTATATGATTTTTGGCTTTGCATTGGCATAGCTTCTTTATTATATTTTATTCAATGCAACTGGACAGGCCCACAAGTTGAAAAAAACATTGAATGGCAAAATATTAAAAATAAAAATATATTTAAAGATTTATCTTTATATGACGAATGCAATGTAAATGTTAAAATGTTAGATCTTCTTTATCTTTCAAAGATAATATTTTCTAATGAAATCTTACAAAATATTTATAAAAGTTGTATATGGTGGTTATTTAGAGCAAATTTTCTAAATCAACTAATATTAAATGAAAGTTCTGGTATGATATTTGATGAAACTGAACAATTAATTGACAAAATTAATAATTTGCAACTATTGCAAGAAAATATTCATTGTGAAACATTATTTTATATTGAAGCTGCACAATTTTATTTTTATTATAGAAGAATTCATAATTCAGAAAAATATATTAAACTTGCTCAGGAAAAAGCAAAATTAAGTTTAGATTTGGAAGGTGCATTGGGAAAACGTACAAAATATCAGAAAGAAAAGGCACAATTGTTTTTAAGAATAAATTTGGAAAAAAAACAATTTTCTTTTAGATGTTGTGAAAATTTACCAAAATCATTGGATTTAAATGATGAAATTAGATTAGAACATATTGAATATTCAGAAAATATAGCAAATACTCAAATAGGAGCTGTAGAAGAAACTATAATATTAGCAAAATAGTAAGAATATATTTTATATTTGTTAAATATGTTTATTATATCATAAGAAAAAAATTGTTTTATTATAATTTTTATTTTTATTAGTATTCAGTTGCAATTATCACAACCAAAAGATAAATTAACAGATGAAGAAATAATACCTTATTTAACTGTAAGTATTATTATTTTATCATATCAATTATTCAATTCATTATTGAAGGAAATTCTTCAATAGGTTGTGATAAATAATACAAGAAATTGGTCTTTAAAAATGGCATCTCTTTATAATCGATGTTCTTTGGAATCTGGAGATAAACGAACTGTTGAACGATCAATGATGCAAATGGAATATTTAATACATGAATTAAATAAAACAAAAGTTTCTGTTGCAAATAGAATGGATTTATTTTTTGCTAGTGGTCTTAAACCAATTTGGGTTTTAGAACAAATGTATGCACAATTGATGTTAAGTCTTGGATTAGTAAAGGGAGCTTTAGATGTTTTCTTGAAACTTAAACTTTGGGAAGAAGTTATTGCTTGTTACAATATAATAAATCTGAAACATAAAGTATATTTTTTAATTCATATCATCCTTTTTTATTATATATATATATATATATATAAAACAAATTAATTTATATTTTATTAATAATTTTAGGCAATAGAAATTATTCATCAAGAATTATCTAAAAAACCATCGGTTCAATTATGGTGTTTATTAGGTGATGCAACTCAGGATCCTAATCATTATGAGACAGCATGGAAATTGTCCAATGAAAAAAGTAGTGCAGTTCAAAGACATTGGGGACTTTTTTATTTTAAAAAACAAAATGTAAGTATACAAATGCAAATTTTAATTTTTTTATATTAATTTAATTATTTTTTTATTATATATTTTATTTTTTAGTACAAAGAAGCTATATCACATTTAAAATTATCAGTTGAATTAAATAACATTCAAGAACATGTATGGATAAGACTTGGATTTGCTGCCTTAGAAATAGAAGATTGGAAATTAGCAGCAACAGCATATAAACATTATTGTGCTTTAGAACAAACGGTTTGTGAATTGAATTAATAAAAAAATTATATTGGTTTTTTGATAAAATAAATAATTTCAAATGGTTTGTATACAACTATTAATAATAAATTCATTTTATGAGGATTTAAAGTTGACAATGAAATTTTTCTTTTATCTAAAATTAGAAATCAATATAAATCAATATATAATCAATATAAAGTAAAATAAAGTAGATATAAAGTAAGATAATTTATATCTTTAATCTGATATGAAATGCAATTATTCTTGTGGAAAGTATTTATTTTAAAATAAATGTTATATATAAATATATAATTTATTATATTAATAATTTTTATTAAATTTAATAAATTTTCGAATAAAAAACATTATAAATGTAAATCAAATAAATGTAAAATTTTAATATACAAACTTTCGACAAATATTTAGAAAAATATAAAAAATTAATGCACTATATAATAATTTTTAATATCTACATACAATTCAAATAATTTAGAAATTAGATATACAAATACATTATAATTTTTTTTTGCATTAAAAAATTTATTATTTTTCTACTATATTTCTAATATAATATGACTTTATAATTTTAATTATTATATATATTATAGTATATATTATATATACTATTTATACTATATTTATACTATTTATATATACTATTATTTATACTATTTATATTATATTATACTATTATATTTATACTATTATATTATATATATAATATAAATATATTTATATATATTTATATTATTTATACTATTTTTATATTACATATACTTTTATTTATACTATTTATAATTTTATTATATTTATGTTATATTATATCATGTATTACATAATTTTACAATTTGATTACAGACATTTGAAGCATGGAATAATTTGGCAAAAGCTTATATAAAATTAGGTGATAAAACAAAAGCTTGGAAATCTCTTCAAGATGCTATAAAATGTAATTATGATCAATGGCAAGTTTGGGATAATTTAATGATAGTGAGCATTGATTTGCGACATTTCTCAGAAGTATGAATATATTTATATAATATTAAAATAAAAACAAAATTAAATTATTTTCTAAAATATATTTTTTCAAACATATACATGATTTATATTTAATTTTTTTAGGTAATTCGATGTTATCACCGTATTTTAGATTTGAAAAATCATCACTTAGATGTTCAAATTCTTGATATACTTACTAATGCTGTATTAAACAACGTAAATGATTCAAATGGAATTTGTGCACAAAAATTGCTTCCAAAAGTTTTAGAATTATTTGGAAGAATTACTTCTTCTATATCTAATAATTCTGATGTTTGGAGGATGTATGGACAACTTACTATTTTAAAAAAGACAGATATTGATAATGAAAAGGCAATACAATATTTACAACAAGCACATCGTATTGCTATCTCAGATTCAAAATGGCATTTAGAAAAAGAATCAGTTGAGAAAATATTACAATTATGTTGTATATTAGCAGAAATATACTTACAATATGCTTCTAATTGTGAATTAAAAAAAAAAAAAACATTGTTAGCAAGTGCAAAATTATCTCTTCAAGGAGTTGTAAAAAAAGTCAAAAATCAAGAGTGGAATATTGATAAGATTTGTATATGTTTAAATACAGTTGAAAAATATTTAAATACAATAATAATAAAATTAGAACAAATAAAATTGAAAAATATATGAATATTTTATTATAATGAGCTGATTTTTAATTAGAAAACATAAAAATATCCTATAATTTTGTATGTGTATGTGTGATGTGCGCGCGCATATGTGCATGTATATGTAAAAACATTACAAAAATATAATTTAATAATTCTCTTTAAAATTCTAATTATTTAAAAAATATACATTGCAAAAATATGTTTTGTAATCAAATATAATATATATAATATGTATATATATATATATATATATATATTATATTATATATATATAATTAATTTATGAATATAAGTTATAAATATATTTGTAAATATTTCTAGATTGGGGATATTCGTAGAATCAAATAGTTATAAAAATTTTATTTCGATTTATTTTTTCCTATCATTTTTTAGTATTTTCTACTCTTTTCTATATTCTATAACACATTGCACAACGAGTTAAATTTTGAAAATTTAAATTTTCAAAATTAATGAAAGAATATTGCGTCATGTCTAAAGTCTAACTATAATCATCTCCTTCTTCATTTGTTTAATTGTTTAGTAACATAATATAATCAAACTGATTATAGTAATTATATTTTTCCCTTAACTTTTTCGGCAAGCCTGCATATAGATAAAAAAATATTGAATCGTGACGTGGTAATTTAGTTTCATTTCAACAATTAAAATTAATTTTAAATAATAAAATAAAATTTATATAATAATTTTGATAAACAAGTTATATAAGATTCTACAGAAAAATATTTAAAAATATAAATTAAAAAAAAAAATTTTTTATAACTTTTATATTAAAAGGTAATTACATATAAAATATTTTATAAATTATATTCCAATTCAAATATTAGAGAATAACATATGTATACATAATGTATTATTTGCAAAATATAATTTAAATTTATTTTAATAATAATATTAAATTTTATTCTAAATAAATACCTTTTTTTTAGATGCCATTTGCAGAAAAAGTTGTATTAATAACTGGAGCTAGCTCTGGCATTGGAGCAGCAACTGCTATACATTTTTCACAACTTAATGCATTATTATCAATAACAGGTCGTAATGTACAAAAATTAAATGAAATAGCTGATCAATGTAAATCTAATAAACCATTAATTATACCTGGAGATTTGACTAATGAAACTGATGTTCAAAATATTATTAAATCTACTATTAAACATTATGGTAAATTAGATATTCTAATTAATAATGCTGGTATATTAGAAAATGGCAGCATAGAAAATACTTCATTAGAACAATATGATAGGTATATATTTATTTTTTATATTAACTTAAAGATATGAAATTTTATTTTAATTTTATAAAATATATTAAATATTTGCATGCAAATGTTTTAGAATTTTTAATGTAAATGTACGTTCAATATATTATTTAACAATGTTGGCTGTTCCATACATAATACAAACTAAAGGTAATATTGTGAATGTATCAAGTGTAGTTGGATTAAGATCCTTTCCAGGAGTTTTATCATATTGTATGAGTAAATCAGCAATTGATCAATTTACACGATGTGTGGCTGTTGAACTTGCACCAAAACAAGTATATATAATTTTAGAATATATTAAATATGATATTTGATGTTTTCATATATGAATTTATATATATATTTCATATATAAATTTTATATATTTTTTTTAATTTATAGGTAAGAGTTAATGCTGTAAATCCTGGTGTAATAACAACAAATCTTCATAGAAATAGTGGAATGTCAGATGAAGAATTAAAAAACTTCTATGAGCATTGTAAAAATACTCATGCTCTTGGTCGATCAGGAGATGTTAATGAAGTTGCAAAAGCAATTGCATATTTGGCAAGTGATGATGCTAGTTTTATTACAGGTGTAACTTTATCTATTGATGGAGGAAGACATGTTATGTGCCCTCGTTAAATTGTATTTTATGCAAAAAATAATAATTTTGTTTGTAATTTTAAATTCATTAAAATATTTTTCATATCTATAATACATTTATCAGGTTAAAGCTAATATTTTTTTAAAAATGTTTATATACATAAGAAATACTAATAGTAAGATAATTATAATAGTAAAATTAAATTATAAGGTAAGAAATATGTAAAGAAATATTATTTTTCAATAAATAATTGATTTTTGAACAATATGTTATAAGAATATTCTTATGCTATTACTACATTATTTGTTATTTAATAATTTAAAAACATTATATTATTAATAGTTTATTAATAAGATAAATGAAATACTTATATAATAAAATAAATAAAATAAATAAATATATTAATTAAATATTTTAATTAGTTTAAAATAAAAATGGATTTAAAATTAAAATAAATTAATCACACAAATCTATATAAAAAATGTTTTATTTTATAAATTTATATTTTATTAAAAAAATTTTATTATTAAAAATTAATTTTAAAAATAATATATAAGTAAAAATGTAAAAAGTAAAACATATAAGTAACATATAAGTAAAACATGTAAAAAAATATTCCAAGTAATTTCAACCTGGGAACAAGTTTTTTGTAGATATATTTATAATTTTATAAAAATTTTATTTTATAAAAAACAATATTATATAAATAATTATTATATATTATATTTGTTTTAATAGTAACTAATTTATGTTATCAATAATTTATACAATTTTTATAAATTTAAATGAATTATACAATATATATGTATATATGCCACGTCATATAACAAACTCTTTATCTTCTTTCAAGATTATATATCATGGAACGTTAATTAATGTTCATAGTTACAGATTTGACGCAATATTAAGATACATTATGTGTACTAAAAACCTATCGTATTTTTTATCGGGATCGGTGGTTAGAGGTTTTGGCAGAGGTTCTAAAGCTTTGGGAATACCTACGGGTAAGATTAAACGTCTTAATTTTTATTTAATGAATTCTGAAATTTTAAAATTAGAAGAAGTTATAAATTTAAAATTGTTTAAAGATAATCTAGAATTGTACTTATATGTAACTAGAAAGTATAATTTTATTCTTTACATGCTTATTGGCGCGAATATATGAAATATATTAGAAAAGTTTTAATATTAATCATTAAACAATATAATTAATTTTTATAAAAATATATTGCAAATTAAAATTAATTCATAAAATCAATAAACTTACAAAAAATTATATTACAATTAAAATATATGTAAAATGTAAGATTGATAATTATATATAAAAAATATAACTTTTAGATATAATTTTTATTTTTTAATATAATTTTTTAATATATATAAATAATTATGAAATTATTTTTTTTATTTTTTATAGCAAATCTTGAAGATAACGTAGTAGAAAATTTACCTAATGATTTTAATACTGGAATTTATTATGGATGGGCTTCTATAGATGGACAAATTTATAAAATGGTTGCCAGTATTGGTTGGAATCCATTTTATAAAAATAAAAAAAAGACTGTGGTATGAATTATAAAATATTCAATATTTAATAACATAAAAATTTTAAATTATTTTTCAGTAATTCATTATTATAGGAACTACATCTAATACATACATTTGAAAATGATTTTTATGGAAAACAAATTAAAGCCATTTTTGTGGGATATATACGACCAGAAAAAAATTTTACTTCTGAAGGTATAATAATATAATAATAATTATAACAAAATTGATTTTTTTTATTAAATTGTTTTTTTATCATTTTAGAGGAATTAATTAAAGCAATAAAAACTGATATTGCATTTGCTGAAGAACAGTTACAGAAGCCTGATATGATTGCTTATAAATATAATCAATTTCTTAAAGAATAATAAAATTATGAATATTATAAATAATACTAATTAATATTATGGTATTATATATATTTTTTGCGTATAGTTTTTTTATTATATTCGAAAATAATTCATAAGGAGTAATATATTGTTAATAAAAGTTTATTATAAAAAATAATGTAAATATAACTAATATAATTAATATATTATTGTAATAATTATTCGAATATAATTTGAATTCTTCTAAGAACAAGTTCATACATATATATATATATACAAATACATATATATTATTGTATATAATTTTTAATACATTCAATTATTTTTTATCTTGTATATTTTTAAAATAATATTTATGCACATAAAAATTAAGAAATAGAATATAAATAATAATTATTCCATTATTAATATTTAAGTAGTATCTGATGATGTACTTGGTGGAGGAGGAGGTGGAGGTGGTGGTAAAGATACCCATGGCATTTTCATTCGAGTAGGAACTTGTGGAACTTGTGATAACCAGGATATATTTGATTGGAATCTTACATTTGTAAAAGAATTTGGATGATTTTGTAATGTTAAGTATCCTGGAGAAATTCTTGGACATGTAGTAAAAGGAATTCTAGGATTTAAATATGTTGTACTATTATCTTCACTATAATAATTATGTGAACTATATAAATTTTGATTAGCATTGCCAACATTATGATTTATATATTGCATAGGTTGTATTGAATATGCTCCATATCCATATGATTCACTATTATTTTGATAAGCTTGTGACCATAAAGTTTGAGACTGATTTTCAAAAAAAAATTGTCTATTTGTTCGTGTATAAAATTCTTTTTTTTGTCTTTGTACATTTCTATTCCATGGATGATTTGATTGCCAACCAGTATTAGGTTCTAAGGAAAAACATAAATATTATTATAAATATTAAATATTGATATTAAACAAGAAACTTACTTGAAATACGTTTTCGTTTAGATGGAATATCTGATTGATTAGCATTATTTATTTGTTTTGTTTTTAATTGTTCATAATAAGCTCGTTCTTCCTCATCATCTGAAAATTCTGGAGGATCATCTGCATTTGCATCAATACCTTTAATTCTATGATAATTATAAATTATTTAATACATAAAGCTTGCTATAAATTAATTTTATATAGATTATTTATGTATTTAGACTTACTTCAATAATTCATGAAGAAATACCAAGGAAGTATATTCTGTATTTGGACAATAATAAACAGTCATTCTCTCTTTAATGTCACATTCTTTTATATGTTTAGAGCTATTAAAACGTACACAATAATGAGGTTCATTCACTTTTCCAAAGACATCAAATATTTTACCTAATGCTCTTTGTCCTTTTTCAACAAATAAAACTGTATCTAAGTTTAATGTTGGTTTACCAGGTTTTGGTTTCACAACTACCAACTGTTCTACCATCCAAGCAACCTTGAATTTTAATTCAATCCATTATATTATTTTAAATTTAACAATACTTGTAAATTAATTTAAGATTCATAAATACTTCTCCTAATGGATCGCATAATACTTCAGGTACACTAATTTTTAAATCTTCAATAGGAGGTAAATCATCTAATTCATTTTTTGTTTCATTATTTTTTTGTCTTTTTATATTATTTCTCATGCTTTTCCTAAAAATATAAAAAATTATTTTAAAATTTAATATGTATAAAGCTTGTAATATAAACTTACTTGCTCAAAGAATCATCACTATCTGATTCATTTGATTGAATTATTACAGAAGAATCACTGCTACTAGAATCATCTTGACTTTCACTTTCTTCATCTGATGAAGCTTCTTTATTTTGCCTATAAGTTTGTACTTGTATTTCTTTTAAAGATTTACTTTCATTATTTTCACATTTTATTTCATCAGAATTATATTCTGTTTCTGAATCAGAATTTCCATATTCTAAAGCAATACTAATAAGAGAAGATACTTTATCATTTTCTAATAAAAAAAAAATACAAAATTTAATAATTATTTGATTAAAAATTATAAATAATTTCAATTAAAATAATGAATATTTTCTATTCTTACTTTGAGTTAATGATACTGTATTCTTTTCATGTATGATATGAATATCATTATCTTCATGTTTTAATTTTTCAAATGTTATATCTTGTTTTTTATTAGGATCATTTGTTAACACTTCATTTCTATTAATATGTGAAGTAATTGAATTTTTTTCTTCACTAATTAGATTATTTATTTCACTATAATTTTGTTTAATTTCAATATTATTAATTATATTTAGTTTAGAATTATCTGCAAATTTACTTGTCTCATTAATATTAATTTGAATATTTTCTTTATATTTTAATAAAGAGTTTTTATTATTTGAAACATAATTATTTTTTTCACTATTTAATATGTGTTTCTTCAATTCATCGTGTAAATTCCTATTTTCTACCATTTTTTCTATTATAACCTCATCTGAATCCATTGTAATTTTTGTTATAAAATTCTCTGGTTATGATTAATTATAGAAACTTTTAAAAAGAAATATAAATGCAATTAATAAACATACAAAAAATGTATTCTTTTTTTTTTTTATAGAATTTCATAAGTTTTATACAAACACATTCATTATCAACCGCATGTTACTATCCATGATCACATAATCACATCTTCACACTTATGTATAGAATATTAATATATTCATAGATTCGTAATATATATTTGAAAGATCGATTTTAAAAATCAAAATAAATTAAATATAAAAATATTAATTAGACTTATCTATTAAATTATAATTTAAATTTTTGTTAAATGAAAACGAAATAGAACGAAACAAATGGGTAGTATGGGTGGGGATAGAAACATCTCTATCTTCGTCTGCAAATTTAAATTGCTTTTTATAATTTAATAAATTAATTTCAATTGATATTTTTTGCCAATTTTTGTATTTTGGAATCAATCTCTAAGGATATTTCACAAATATATTAATATTCTATATAAAAAAATTGAATAAGATAAAAAAAAAGAAATAAACATGATTTTATAAAAAATTTAATTTTCAAAAAAATTTTGATATTAATAACAATTATTTATATCAAACTTACTTTTTATAGGATAATTTATGAATCACAATGTATTTTTTTAATAATAATTTATAATTAATATTTAAAAAATGTATAATATATTATTATATTTTATTCTCTGGTGACTACATTTACAATTGTTTGAATAATTTTTTTTC